TATTTATTATTTACCAAGATTTTCCCAAGCTCCTGATCGACGACGATCAGGTGTTGTTTTCAATATTAATTTAAAATATTGAGTACCCATTGATGATCGTAGAAAATTTAATACAATAGAAAAATATTCATTACTCGTACTAGCTAATTGATGAAGTTCATGTGCTAAACAATAAATAAAATAAAAAAATAAATACATAGTTTTATTGACTATTAAGAAAAAACAAACGTGATAATTTTAATAATATTAAATCACGTATTTCAATTGGTATTTGACTAAGATAACAAATATCAGATCGAACTAATGTTGGTTTTAGATTAAATGGTCTAGAAAAAAAAAGAAATGATTTTTATTGGTTGAACAAAACTCGTTCAGTTTTTTTCTACTACTTGTGTTTAAACTTACATAAATTGTAAAAAACGTTTTTTTGTTGGTGATGATGATAATGGATCATGTATAGACAAATATTTACGTTTTCCGATACTCATCATGTTGATTTAAAAGAAAAGAAATGATCCGATCAAATTGGACGGAAAAACTTTTTCTATAATAGTCAAAAACGTTCATAAATATCTATTCATTGAAAATTTAAGAATAAAATTTTGAATTAATATTAATTTTTTATTTTAAATTTTAAAAAATTATTTAATTAAATATATATATATATTTTTAAAAAAAAAAATCAATGTCATATTGTTTTTTTTTTTCTTAATTAAGATGTCGCTAATTATTAGATGATAATTATACATCCAATGGGATAAAAAAACTGTTTGTGTCATGTCGTAAATAAATCACATATTCGAAAAAATAAAATAGATTATTCTTTCGATCAAATTGTAAATAAATCTAATGTTAAATATAAAATGTTTATAATTTTTAAAAAGAAATCTTTTATTGATTTCTTTCATATAACATATGTGCTTAACAAATACATCATTGATCATGACCAATTCATCATCTTTAATTAATAAAAATGATGAGATTTTACATGTTATTTATGATTATACAGGCAAAGAAGATGATGAATTAACATTAAAGTATGAAACAAAACAAAAAATAAACAACAATTAAAAATAAATGTTTTATTTTGTTTTTTTTTTTTAAGACGTGGAAGTATTGTAGAAGTTTTATCAAAAGATGAAAAAATCTCAGGTTCAGAAGGATGGTGGACTGGTAGACTTATTGATTCTGAATCTGTTGGTATATTTCCAGCTAATTTTGTTGGTAATTTTGAACCAAATTTACGTGTTATTGAAGAAAAAGATTTACAAATTGGAAATTTAATTGGTATTGGTGGTTTCGGGTAAACATTTTTCATTAAAAAAAAAAACTACTAAGCTCTAAATTAGTTTGTTTTTGATTGATAAAAGTTTATAAATTTTCTTCAATATAAAAAGAAAAAAAACACCTTCGCACAACTTATGAGATCATGTGTCAAAGACGTTCGATCGGCGTAGGTCTGTATATCTACATATACAAAAAATATTTTTAATATTCTTTTCATTTAAAAGTTCTATCAGGAAACATGAAAATTCTTGAGTCCGACTTAGATGAGTTCACAAAAATTTCAGTCATGTTGGAAACTTATCTGAAGTTGTCTGCATTGATTGCATATAACATATGATTTTTTGAGATAATAGTACAGAAGATTAGTTATAAAAGAATATAGAAATGATGTTGATAGTTTTAAGTTGGATTAGATCATGAAAATTAATTTTCATCTTATTTCTTAAAGTCAACATAATCTTACTAATATAAATATGATATCAATATTTTTCTCACAATATCATTTAATCAACGACTACTAGTATTTATTTTTGAGATCATCTCTAAAGGATTATTTTCTGATCCATGATTTATAAGATAATTCGTGTATGTTCACTAGTGTCTGGCGTGACCGTCAGTCATGGGTCTTCTTTTTGATTTCTAAACATAAAGAAAAAAATTTTCAGAAAGACATACTACAAAGTTTTCATTTTGTATTAAAAGGTGATGACCGAGGGTGGGAAGTTGCCTGGCGAAGATTTTCCTTAGTACTGAACCTCTGAGTGTCCTCTACTATTTTAGTACTCGTGGGTCACATTGGGCATTAATACTCATCCTTATCCTATACGTTCTTTATGTCTGGCTTCTTTGTATGTTTTAAAAATTCAGTATTATTTTATTCATTCTAAAACAATTGATCATTTCTTCAAATGCTTTTTTTTTTGAAATAGTTATTGTAATTTTCTGAAATACTCTATATTAGAAACTAGATTTAATGTAGAAGTACTAAAATATTTTATAAGAACACGTTAAAAATAGATAATGTCCTCAAAAATTTCATTATCTTTTTAAATACCTGAAAAAATATCGAACATTATGCTAAGAGATTTCATCTATAATGTGTATATCTAGTATTTAAAAAGTATTATGTTTTATGTTCTATAAAATCTATTCGTATAGAAATAAAATTTTTTTTTTGTTTTTGCTATTTTAGTCATGTTCATTATGGAAAATTTGGTGATATTGATGTAGCAATAAAAACTGCTAAATCTTTAACAGCATTTAGTTCAATTGAAATATCAACATCAAGTAAATCTCATGATGATGAATCATCTGATGCTGTAAAAAAAAATCTTATTGATGGTCTTTTACATGAAGCATGTCTTTTTTCTAATCTTCGACATCGAAATATTATACAATTATTTGGTGTTAGTCCATCAATATCAACAAGAAATCTTTATCTTGTTATGGAATATGCACATGGTGGTGCATTAAATAATCTTTTACAACGAAGAAAATCTGGTCTATATCCAAATGTATTTATTCAATATGCTAAACAAATAGTTGATGGAATGAAATATTTACATGAAGAAGCAGTTGAACATATTATTCATCGAGATTTAAAATGTTCAAATAGTTAGTTTAAATGAAAAACAAAAAAAATACAATATTTAATTGTTTGTTTTTGTTTTAGTTCTTATTTTAGAAGCAATCGAAAATATTCATAATGAAAGTGAACTTTTATATAAAACATTAAAAATTACAGATTTTGGTCTTGCAAGAAAACAACTACAATCATCAAGTATGTCAGCGGCTGGAACATTTCCTTGGATGAGTCCGGAATGTATTCGTAATAATGAATTTTCAACAAAATCTGATGTTTGGAGGTAATAATCAAAGTTTTTGTTTTTGAATGTATTGACCTTTTGTCTTATCTTATAATGATGCAATTACTATTACCATGTCAATATAGTAAAACATCAATTTTTATAAATGAAAAACTTTAAATTGTTTATAAGGGATATAAATAGCTCGTAAAAGATGTAATCTCATGCAAAGATTACTTGAAATCGACTATTCCTTTTCTTGTCCGAAATACAGAAATCAATAAGCGATCGATTATCTTTGGCAAACAACTAAAATTTACTTAAGTGTTTTCCCTATGTACTGTGATTCAAATGTTATCGCCATATCTTTAGAGATTCTTTTGATTGAAGTCGTTCATTCGATTTCATTCATAACATGTTTCAATAATATTTATATACTAATCAAACATTGATATCAGATCCTTTGATGTACTCGCGTAACCTCATGTACGAGATCATAGAATTTAGAATACGAGAATTTGTACTTTGTACTCTGATACTCGCAACCTTATCAATCTATCGACTGGATGTAGGTGAAAAGAATACATATCTTACTATTAGAAGTACATGAATAAATAAAAATACAAATTGTATTTTATATTAACATAATTATACGAAAAAATTTGATTATTTCCTCAAATGGAACAAGAAACTACATTTTTAAAGGTTTATTTTTATTTTTTTGTCTTGAAATCGTTTGATTTTGGGTTCTTTTTTTTAGCTTTGGTGTTCTTCTATGGGAATGTTTAACAGGTGAAATTCCTTATAAAGGTTTTGATCAAATGCAAGTTGCTTTTGGTATAGCTACAAATAAATATTCATTACCTATACCAAGTACATGTCCAGAAGAATTTTCACAATTAATGAAAGGTTTTCTTTATTATTAATAATATATAGACTTTTTTTTTTGTTTTTCTATAAAAATAAATTTTTTTAGATTGTTGGCAACTTCTTCCAAAAGATCGACCAACATTCAGTGAATTATATGAACAAATCAATAAAATTATTGAAATAAATTATACAAATAATGATTTAAGTTATATGGAAACAAATGATGAAACATATTCATCATTACAACAAGATTGGCGTAAAGAAATTCAAGATATATTTGAAGAATTAAAAACTAAAGAACAAGTAAAAATTATAAAGAATAAATTCAGTTTGAAATTTTTTATTCTTATATTAATCAAAATATTTATTTTTAATCTTTTTTTTTTTTCATTTTTGAAGGAAATTCGTGATCGTGAACAAGCTATGCTTCAATTAACAATTCAACAAAATCATCAACGTATGAGATTACAACAATGGGAACAAGAATTACATGAACGTGAAATGCATATTATTGAACGTGAATTAAAATTATTAATGTCAACTAATAATCAAGAACGTCTTCATCAACAAACACCTAAAGTACAAAAACGTTCAGGACATTTTGGTCGTTCATTATTACATGCAGCACTTAATGGTTCAGCTACACTTTCATCAACTACAGCTTCAAATTTAATTAGTGGTCCAACAAGTTTGTTTTTAATTTTAATAATAAAAAAAAATTCTTTAATAATAATTTATTTAGATTTTCGTCATTTAATGTCAATTTGTCGTGAACAAAATTTACATCATCATCCAGCAATTGATTATGATTCATCATCATCATCATCATCAACTAATCCTAATACGACTTCTCCAATACAAATATCATGTTCAACAAATAATATACTTCCATCAAATTCAATATCGACACAAATACATTCAGATTTATCAAATAATCAATCTACAACACATAATGTATATACAAGTCAAAGTACACCAACAACACCTAATTTAAATCGACTTCGAACATTAACTTGTATGTATTTCAATTGAATTAAAATTTCGAATTTTCTTATTCTTAAAACAAACTTTTATAATAATTTGGTTAAAAGAATAACATATATATATATATAGATAAATTCTATATTTCTAGCAAGTGGAGATCTTATTATAAATGTAATTGATGATAAAGAACCTTTAATAAGCAATGATGGTAAGAAAACAAAATATATAGCAAGATATTTTTCTTACATTGATGATAAACAATATCATAATATAGGTATATTTTATATTAATAACAAATAATAATCTTTCGCGCTATTCTATAAGTTTGTTTTTTTTTTCTTTTTATATATTAAGATATTTAGAGAGAATAATCTTCATATGCTTTATATATAATTATACTCTAAGCTCATATTATATATAAAATTTAGATTTAATTATAAATCATATGCTTCTTTTATTTATTCTGCTCATTTTAATTCTTTTATTAACATTTTTAATAATATATATATTTATTTATTTTGCATGTAATATATTTCAGCAAATGATAGAATTAAACTTTGACAAACAGAAATAAAAAACAAATACAAAACATATATATATATAAATTTTTATTTTTTAGTTCATGTTCCAGTTTTATCTGATGAATTCGATGATGAAACAATTGGAAAAACGTCACGTTCTTCATCAACTAGTCAAGATAAAATACCAGCAACAAAACTACAACATTCACGTTGGCGTAAACCTAAACAATGGACATCATCATCATCATCATCATCAACAACAACAATAAAACGAAAATATCCAAAAACTAATACACGTCTTGGTGAATCGAAATGGTATATTGAACCTACATCATCTATGAATTCAAATAATGATGATACAACAATATCAAGTACTAAATCAACTCCAACTATGGATCGATCAACACAAAAAACTGGTAAATAAAAAAAATAAAACACTTAAGTTGTCGTTTTCTTTTTCAATCGTATCATTCATTGTTTTATAATTTCAGAAAATTTCGATGAAATAAGTAAGCTTTAAAAAAAAACAAACCAATAAAGTATATCAACTAATAATTTACATTTTTATTTATTTGTTCATCTAATATTTATTCATACAGAAACAATTGATCACTATTAAAAAATATTTCGTATGCAAAACTTTTCTTTTTCTTGATCTTCTTCTTAATACATAGCTTTATACTAGTATTCAATTAACACACTTAGATTTCAGTTCTTCTTATTTTCGTTTTACTCTTTCATATAGTACTGATTGATTAAGAGCACTTATAAGAAATTTTCATTTAATATCCATTTCAAAATATTATTAGTATACATTTAGTTTTTACTGCTAAGAAATTACTTGAGCTGATTATCGTTGTTTGATCTATATGTAAAAATTTACTAGAAAAATAAATAATGAAATTTCGATCTGTAATTTCACCTATAGATAGGGTATGATGAATTTTAGAATATCGTGAAATTTTCAGTCGAAAAGAATATTCTTCCGTTAAGATGTGGAATTTCCAAGTAAACTCGATTTTTTGTAGTAAGCGACTATTTGTTGGAAATTTTCGCTGTTACTTTCAAGGTATTCTAAGAATGATTAGATTTATGCACTGAATTTCAAGTCGAAATTTTATTCTTCGATTTTTTTAGCAAATCCCTCAAAATGTGTCAAAATCAACTGGACTCTAGAGGCTCATGAACGCGAAACCTATTTTTTCAAAGGAAAGATTACAATTGAGATTAATAGCTAGCAGATTTATCCATATACTGGAAATTTGCCGATGCCGTGATGTTTTTTAAAGAAAAATGTCGTTATGAACATTTCTGATTAATTTCTAAAATACATTTTAATTTCACCACAAGAAAATCATAATGCTGAAGGATGAGCACTCAGTCAGATATCTGTCCTCAATCGAATGACTTTCATTTGAAGATTTGATGTATCGAAGGATTTATAGAAAACTCCCTCCCTCCCTCAAAAAAAAACATTAAATGAGAAATATAATACATTTTGAAATGGATCATTAATTTCGCTTATTTTGCACGTGAAAACTTCATTTTCTTTTAATTAATCTAACCAATTAAATTAATAAAATGTTTTTTTTTCTCATAGGTTCCTCCTCTTCATCAACATGCTCAACACCAAATGATCGTTCATTAGCTCGTGGTATTTATGATATTAATTCTATGTTAATTTCTGTTGGACTTGGTCGACCACCACCACCTGTTCGATCCAATTTTTCTGAATTTATTTTATCTGGACCTTCTTTTTATACTTCTTCATCATCATCTTCTTCAACTACAACAATAATAAGAGCTACTAATCAATCAATACTTCGTTCAACAAGTGAAACAACCAATACACAAAGACCATCATTACCAACTTCGACTGATATCACTTCATCTCCATCAATTAAAAAACAACATAAACGAACTTGTTCATCACCTTTGACAGATACTATTACTCAAACTAATGGATTTCCAAACATGGGTTGTGGAGCAATACCTTTCTATTCACCTATTCGACCTGATTCTCTTACGTTTTCTTCGAAATCACCACCATTATCATCAGCTATGACAAATATCAGTCAATCGGATTCACACTTAGTTGATAGTCATTTTAATCATAGAAATCAATCGACTAAAATAACCAATCCATTACAAGAAAATAAAAAAATAACTCATAATCATAGCGAAAAATTTCGTTCAACACAATCAAACGAAATTTGTTCACCTATGACACATTCAATTGTTACATCATCGAATATATCAACTTCTCAACCACAATTACATCGTTCTTGTATACTTGATATTGATTCTGAAGAACAAAAAACACTTGAAGCTGAAGTTTTAGCACCAGAAATTGATAGAAAAAGAATATATAATTCAAATCAAGATCTTGATGCAGAGTTTTTTAATTGAAAGATTTCTTCAATTTCATTCTTTCTTTTTTGAAGTCTTTTTTTTTCCTTTTCGTTTTTAACCTTTCTTTACTTCTGTGTTAAAAGTATATATGGTGCCATTTCTTTATTGTATTAATTTATGCATGTTTATCTGTGTGTGTGTGTTCTTCGATTCTTTTTTTGCAATTGCACGTATTCGTATATTAACTAAAGCACTCTCTATTTTGACTTTAATTATGCAAAGAAAACAAAAACTATGAAAAAAAAATCCCTTATAATATATTTCTTGGATGAGTTTAGTTTTTCTTTCTTTCTTTTTTTTGTGCTATATTTTCTGTTCATAAAAATTCTATTTATGTCTTTTTTTTTGTTATGTATATAAATGGAATGGAGGAAAACTGTTTTGATATTTCAAATTGCTGACAATAATATTTACTACAGTTAATTCTTGTGACATTCAAATACATGATGTATCCATATTGAAAGATCGAAAATAACAAATCATCAGCTCGTTTTATATGATATGAAAAACTCAACTAGTTTCATATATTGCAGATAGTTCAAAGTTAAACCGACCGATATGATATGCGTACTGGCATCGGTTCGACCGGTACATTTGAGAGTCAAAGTAGATTTAATTGAATAAACTATTAAACGAGGCATTTTCATGCCTGAACAAGTCGGAATATTTTAAATATGAGAAATCTTTTTTAGAATGGCCAACTCGAATATGATCGTGAAATACATCTTTAAATAAGCATGAATTAGTAGAAAAAAGAATTGTTCAGTTAGACATCAATCGATGAAATAAGAACTACTCTTTCAATATATAACGCTAATAAATCCTAGGGCTCAGCCATTTTGAATGTCGTTAGGCTTAATTTCTTCCATTCCTTTTTTAGAAATACTGCATTTTCAAGTTTTATTAGTGGTTGACAATCGCAATATTTTTCGATCATTAAACATTTTGTGCTGTTTTTATTCATAGATATAGATATTTATTGGAATACATTTGGAATTAGCATTACATTCTAAACAAAATGAAGTATTTTGTTTTATCCAAACTACAACTTTGAATTGGATATGGGTGTGGTTCTTCTCTTTACCCAAACCTGCACCCTACTGGAAGAAATTCGTAAGACATCTAATCGAGTACTTGACAATATCCGTGATCCTATATTGAAAATGTTTCTGCCGATTAGCTAATTGAGTATTTAGCTATAACTCAATTCAAACTCTTCAGAAAAGCTCATCGAACACACGAAAATAACCAACTACAGAAACATGCCTGCGTCGTACTGCTAACAGAATTCTCTACACTTAGTACTTGTACTAGGACAGAATAGTGATTGCTTCTTGCACGAAAAGAAAAGTACTCTGTCTCTTTGTTTGAAAAACAATGGTCATGAAGTATCAAACCGCTATTCATATATTTGAGCAATTTGACCGATAGAATTCAATGAAAAGTTGTGATTTACAGTCTGAAGTATGAGTATTAGAGTCTTAAATTACAAAGTTCACACATTATTAGTTACTACGATAACTCGAAACGATTCAATAAAATAATTATGAAGGAACGTTTTGTGAAGCCTATCGAATCGTTATTTAGCGATCGATGGATGTTCAACGATTGATTCTGTACGAGTCCAGAACGAGTTTTGAGAAGTCAGGTGTTTACGTCCATAAAGTCTTTTATTTATTGTATAGTCGACAACTGATTAAAACGCAATGATGAATGTAAAAGATAAATCTCTGTGGCTTTTCATTTGTTCTATTAATAATAATAACGCAAATCACACAAGTTGGTTGATAATTTAGATTTCTCGAGCAAAACTGTAATGGAAGCGAAAGTGTTAGTAACATACGGCAACTTCTAGTGCTATCTAAAATATGCAGAAACTTAGCAACGATGGCACAAGTGGTAATTCAATAACGAACGTTGTGGTTGATAACTGACGAAAAGCAAACTAATATTGTTCAGATTTTCGGTCAATGTTTAATATATCCTGACGCGTCCTTCATGCTAATTAAAGTGCGTATAATCATATACTATGGCACGTAATATTCAAATGATAGTGACTGGATTGAAATGAAAATATCCTAATTTGAGAAAATTAATAATAAGATTGGTTCAAACAAACAATTTAGCTGATGATGAAAAGACAAATACTTACTAATTAAAAGATAGAAATATGACTTGTTATTGTCGCTGAATTTTTCTTTTCATCGATGTTCTAGCTGCACAACGATTATGAATGAAAGATAGAACATGAACAAAAAAAAAATGAACGTCTTCATTTCCAGTATAAGCCGTCCATCCGACACTGCATGAAAGTGAAGTTGTGGGATAGAAGATGCGCGAAATTAATCCGTATTTTGTTACTTTCGCCACGAACCTTGTTAAGTTCTGTCATAAAATGGTGTGCTATCATTGTAAATTATTATGACAAGTTTCTTAAAAGACATTAGAAAACCAGTGTCATGTTTATTTTAGATTTTCAGATCAATAACTTCATACTATTTATATTGATCATCCAACATTGCGAATCGTTTGGTTTGCTGCAGATCTTTAATTTTCATTCTGCAAGTAAAAACCGTTTCCAAAAAAGGACAGCAGTCAATAGCGACACATTTTTAGTATCTTGAACTTACCTAATTTTATTCCTATAATTAAACAAAATAATATAATGATGCTTCTTGCATTAAAATAGCTCGGCATCTTTAAGAATAACTTCAATTTTCAAAATAAATACAGTTCGAAAAGCAAGATGGATTGAAAAGATAATGCCTTTGAACACTTTACTATTTATAGTATTGCGATATTGTACGATGTGTTGTACTGCAGTATCATTAAATAGTAGTCTGCATTGAATTTTGCGTAATAGAAAGCAAATCTTTGTAGCAATATTGACGATGAATAGTTTAGCACCAAACGTAAGTCTGCTCATGAGCTCCAAAATCGAGTTATGGTAAACTTATTTCAATCAGAATCAGTGTCAGCTAACGCATTCAAAGATTTGATCTTGATATAAGCACAGTGGGCATCAATACATACAGAGAATAAGCAAATTTTTACAGTGTGTTGATTTTAATTCATCATAGATCTTAGACAAACTTTCTGCTGCTATAATAGAATCAAGATGGATGCTAATTTAAAACTTACAACGAGCGATGAGTTCACTACCAACCGTGACATTTCGTTCATTCTTCACATTTGCGGATTCATTTATATAAACTATTATTGTTGGACTACGATATTTGATAAAAAGAAACTACGGTCAACGACCTAATACTGAATGGTCGCTTTTCTTTGTACAAGAAGAAATACGCTTCGTTCATACAACGTATTACAGCATAACAAAAGGATGCAGCACCTAGTTTCTTATATGAATGATCTAACCATATTATCAATGATACGAAAGTAGATGCAAATGGTATAATACAAAAAACGAAACTGAATGGTATATAGTGAGCTAGAAATTTGGGGAAAAATTCACTAGTTGTGTGAGAGAGAACGAGCAAGAATAAACTATAATAGTTGACTTTGAGAGAATACTTTATGTTGACGATATAGAAGCGTCATCTATTACAATTCTCTCGAGAATCAATGCGATACGATGCATTTAAACATAATGGTTGAAATAAAATAATCTGAAAATATAGTCGAGTCTTCTACTTCTAAAAAAAAGATTACAGTATTCGTTTCATTGTCGCAGTGGCAATAAAAACAATGATTTATATTTCTTAAATATTTCATCATTGTTCAAAATAATACGATAGTAATAAAATTTCTATAATTATTGTTTGTAGCGAAGTGTGACGATAGCATTAATGCTCATTTTAAAGAAAAAAAAATAAGGCAAGTAGACACTTTTTTTGAATAACTTGTAATAGATACGAGATGGAAACTGGAATTTTCATCGTTGGAAAGAATAGATTATAGCGCTTGAATAATTTAATCTGAACAAATCAACCGTGCACAACTTTAGGAATCTTCGATCAGGAATTCGAATGTACCCCAGACGATTGAAAATCTTCAAGAAAAACCAGTTCACAAAAAATTATAACATACGGTTCGATGCGTCTTCATTTCAGCTTTCCGACGGTGAAAGTCAGAGTTCTCTCTCTTGTTCCTATCAAATACTATTTAAAAACTATGCACAGAGCTATCTCAAGTCCTCTACACGGTACTGAATTGCAACCACTACTAATTTTGTATCAGTGTCAACATATTGATATAAATCCAGATACGACAACAAATAGAAAAATTTCTGCACCAGTATCTTTACCTAGTTATTATATAAAAACTCATTGCCCATTTAAGAGTTTACTTGTTAGGCACACTCAACTAAATTTTTTTTATCATTGTTTAACAACTTTTGAATGTCTACAAGACTTTATATGATAACTAAGTATGTCTATAATATAACACATTGAAATCAACTTTAGCTTTGACAATATCGTTGAGTTTATTAATCTGATAGTTCTCTGTATAGATTATTCAAAACTCATTCTTTACTTCTAAATCCACACACTAACCGATTCTTCATACCGATTGAGTATTATTCTATAATAATTATAAATGCAACATGTACCTTTTTTTACAGTTAAGAGAATAGCTCATGTGAACATTGATGGTACAAATTGATACAGAAATAGAATCTTTTATTACAATAATTTCAAACATGAACTGAAGTCGCCAACAGATGCTTTTTTGGATTGATAGTTGATTGTTAAATAAGATTTTCCTCAGACAAAAAAATTCTGTTTTTTTTCGTGTTCAATGATCGATGTTCATTTGTCTCTCTATTTTTTATTTTTTGACAAATAGTCATTTATTGACGGAAAATATCATTATCAAAAAACTAACATATAAAGATATCTAGGTGTTTTTTTGTTTCATGTTAAGGAAAAATATATTTTATATATTTAGGATTTTATTCCATATTCTCCATTAATAGAACGTCCAATAAGGAGTCGTCGAACTTCACTTGTACCAGCACCAATTTCATATAATTT